ACATTTCTCTATAGTTTTCAATAGAAATTATTGCTGAATTATGATGAACCCAATTTCTTCTAAAAAGATTTAGTTGATATATGATTGTTGAGTTTAGTTGATATTGCGGCTAGACGAGTTTATTGGGTTGATCCGAAAGTTGACCGGGTTGAATCGATTGATTACAGTGGTAATGATCGACGGATTATTGCGCAGGGAATGAACCACGTGAGTTTTCAATAACCATATTGGAGGATGCTCAAAGTCCGAAAAATGGCCTTTTGAAATTAAGCATTATCGAAACACAGAACAGTTCACACAAAAGGAAATCAGTGCAAAAATGCATAATCTTGTCGGCAACTTTGATAAGCGCAGTTAATTATTGACTTATCGGTCGCTTTTAGGTTCCACATCCATTTGGTTTGACAATATTCGACCAGTATCTGTACTGGACTGATTGGACGCGACTAGGTGTTGTGCGGATCGAGAAATTTGGATCGCCCAGTGAAGTCATTTGGTATGAACTTCAGAAGTCATAGGATTGAAGTCCTTACGCTGTCGAAAAAGTTGTATATCTAGTTTTGATTGAATTCCGGGAACTATAGAAGTAGAACCATTCTCAGATACCGACGGAATATTTTTAGTCAAAAATGTGGACGTCAAAAGCATAAACTCTTAAAATCCAGATACTACCACTCCTGAGAAGTTGTTTGCCAGGCTAAAGCTGTTTTATGCGTTTTTGCTGTGCAGCGGTATAGCGCTGCTTCAGTGGACAAAAACGCATATTGTCGGGAGGCCGTATGTGTTTTCGGAAGCGAGTCAATTTCGTCATCCACTTTCAACTCAGCAACCAGGAAAGCTGGAAGGCTAAGCTTTTGGGGTCGTATTCCTATTCCATGTATCACCCTCCCGTTTCATACACCTCTAGATCTCGCATACGAACTCCAAAAAAATATGCAGATTTCTTTGGTTAGAAACAACTTTGGGATCCACACAAACTTTGTATGGATATTCTCTGCGCATGTATGAGCTAAAAATTTTAAATTCATCTATCACACACGCTTATATCGCGTATACGCCTACGGCGAACTTCGCAGTTGGCACTGTGCTAACTCGAAAACTAGCCAGAAAACAGTGGCTGAAATTTGTCACAATTCATGTGCAAAATCATACATCTAAAGTGGACTTCAACTTGCATTTACGCCATGACTTAGAACACTTGAAAGATATTTGTGGCGATTTGGCTATTTCGCTAATCAAACAATTTGTGAAGCTGAGACTCTGCCTGGATGTTTTACATTCACGTGTGGTCTTAATTCAGCTTGGAGATTAGATTTCCTATACGCAGGCATGACAAATACCCAATTTTATCACAAACTCAAAAGCGAATGTATTTTGTAAATTTTATCATCTTGATTTGACTTCCTTCAAATTTGCATTTTTCCAATGAACGGGCATTCACCGAAAAAACGGTTGGGCTTTATGTAAAAAACTGGTAATCATGCACACTAAGTCCCGTACGATTTCAATGCAACACTTTCATCTTAGTCGTCGTCCATTCCCCCTGGGAAGAGGCCAAAACACAGCCAATATGTGTCCAAGTGTCAAGCTACAGCGCGGGAACCAGCTCTACTGTTAGCGTTCTACAAGTTCAACGTAAAATCTCGTAATCGCACCGGCAAGGCTGGTGCGTTGCAGCCTGGGTTTTTTCTTGGGTCTTCAACTGGTATCATTAAGCACAGATTCTAGATGGCTTGTAATGCAAGGTTGTGCGCGAATTGCATATAGATGTTACGGTGCCATTCGGCTTGGTAAGTTATAAACTGACTTTCAGTTCCTTAGTGGTACATGCATGACGTCAGCACACTTCAATCATTTTTGGGGGAGGAGAATCACTGACTAAGCCTCCTCATACACAGCACGTAAGAAGAAATATTCTTTTTGAGGACAAAGAAGGAAAACAATGTATTCCCGATGGGCATCGCAGCTTATCATCCAATGGCACAGGTTGGCCCGCAGCACAGCGAATGCTTGGGTCTCAAAATTGACAATCCATGTGTTGAGGCTGATTGCCAAGGAATGTGTATCCTCAGCAAGGATACTGGTGGCTTTGGCGTTGGTTATCGATGTGTCTGTCCCATTGGGCAGGTATTTCTTTTATCATTTACTAATTTCAATTTTCAACCATCTTCCGACTGAACTTTTGAAGTCAATTTCGATATGTCTGGCCCTTCGCGGAGTTTTACGCATATCGAGAAGGCGCAGGTTTTGCGATTCCCTGGATGAAATGGTCGCGATTTCTTACTTCGGCAGCGACTTATGTTATAGACGCGTATTGGAAGTTCCTGACCGTTTCGTAGTTATACTGTATTGAGTAACTTACAGTCGTTGGTAGTCCCTTGCCATCCAACTGCGGATCTACAGTTGCTTGCTGGCAAGAGCGCTGGAGTTTATTTTTTAATTTTTATGCATTTTTGCTGTGCAGTGTTATAGCCCTGCTACAGTGAGCCAAAAAGCATATTGTCGTCTGTGTGTGTGTCTTCGGAAGCGAGTGAAGTTTGACACCCACTTTCAACTCAGCAACCAGAAAAACTGGGAGGTTGAAATTTTGGAGACATATTCTCACCCCATATGTAACCTCTTTGTTTTAAGGCCTTCCATCATACGCGCCTAAATCTCACGTACGGGACTCCGAGAAAAATATGCAGATTTCTTTGGCGGGAAACGATTTTGAGAATCAGGCAAGACAGAAAGCTGAAACTCTGCAGCGATACTCCATATGCTCGTGCGAGCTAAAAATTTCAAATTTAGCCCATGCGCGCGCTTCTGCAGCGCATACGGTCACGTCAAAGTTGGCATCTGGAACAGTGCTAACTCGATAAGTAGCTGGGAAGTAGTGGCTGAAATTTTGTCAAAATATCGTCCAAACGGAAATCGTATAATAAAATGAGTACCGATTCGCACTTGTACTGCGACTTAGAGCACTTCAAAGATATTTGTAGCGAAGTGGCTATTTTGCCTACCGGATAAGGTGCGAGGCTGGAACTTTGCTGGTATATTCTACTTTCAAGTGCGTCTTAAGTCTGTCTGAAAGTGAAGTTCCATGCAGATGGATATGGGAAATACCCAGCTTTACCGAAAAATCAGAAACGAGTGCATTCTACAGCGAACAACACATCCTCTCCCAATATGTAAATGAACTCATTTACATATTTGTATTTTTTGACGGACGACCGCTCTAGCAACATTTTCACTTTTCAGTGAACTGGAAATTTGCATTTTTTCGAAGATCAAGTATTTACCGGAAAAACGACTGAGCTTCATGCAAAAACTGATAGTCATGTATCTTCGAAGTTCATGCGGCCCAATAATGCAACATCTTCATCCCATCTGACGCCCTTTCTTCTGCTTGCCGGAAGAGGCCAAAGCACGTCCAGTATGAACCCAGTTGTTAAGCTAAGCTCAGAAATCACTCCTGCTATTAGCGATCCGCAGTTTAGTGCAAAAACGCACGATGAAGCCGGCAAGCCTGGTGCGTTCAGGTTCTTTTGTATTTTTTCCATGTTGCTTGTGCTGTGTTTTTAGGTCTATTTTGTGCCCAGCTGCTTGGCTTTCAATACGCTACCATCCCCCTACCAGGGCGGTTGAAATCCATACTGCCCAAGTGAAGTTGAACAAAATGCGAGGTAATGTCTTCTTGGTACTGTTAGAGCTGGATACTCCGATTTATCATGGCAGTACCTAATTCGCAGCCATTCCACGCTACTGTAAATGCTTAGGTCAAAATTTTGCAAGAGTGCTCAGAAGTTCCTATACAGAGTGGAAAATTTTGACAGAATTGCTATCACTTCTAGAGCCTCTGTTTTGCCCTTTACCGCTAAAAAATTATTAAAATTATGACCTCAAAACGGCAGCTTCTTACGCCAGGCATATAATTTTGCGACACAATCTACTTTTAGATTCCACTGCTTATTTCATTTCTCACTGTGTTCATTGCAGAAACTTGTTGATGACAAACGATGCATTGATTCCACCGATTATTTGCTGTTCAGCAGTAATAAAATAGTGCGCGGTATTTTCCCTGAAATGATCCATAGTTCGCTAAGCGAGGCCATCCTACCAATATCACCTGTATCACAGCGCCGGATTGGCATGTATTTCGAAGTGGAATGCGATATTCACGGCGGGAGCTTCTTTTATGCCGATATTATGGATAATACAGTTTACAGGTAAGTTTACAATAACCACGTTTGCCAAGACGATTAATGTGTTACCTTCAGTGCTGGTTTAGTGCAAATGCATAATAGACGTAAGCATTCGAGTTTTTAAAGTGGTCGTAAACTAACTTGTTATTTTTCGTATTTTTAAAATAAACTTTATTGGCAGAAAAGATATGGTATAGTTCAAACGCCGGGGTACAACACCCCGATGTCGTTAAAGCACTACGGAACTTAGTTATGACAGGCCTCGGATACTGGGCCGTATACTTCCAGATATCATCCGTTATTTTTATGCGTTTTTACGTCACTAACGAAGAATGCGAGATCTCATACTAAGAATGGACTGTATGTATTTGCGTTTAGGTTTTACCATCAACCTTCAACTCAGCAAATAGAAAAGCAAAGAAGCTGAAATTTTGCATAGATGCTTCCTGGCACGAAGAATCAAACTTCATGTGTATTTTACCTTTGGCATATGAGTATGTGAAGGGAAAATTTTAAGAATCTTTTTGCAAAACGGACAAAATAGAAATCTTAAGTTCCATGAGGATGTTCCTTGTCCACGTGTGCTTTAAAAAATTTCAGATCCAAATCCATTAAATCCGTCCATGCATGCTTCAAAGCATGCATAGATCCCTCGGGCATGTAAGTGAAATTTCAAGCCGGAATACTGTCGAGACCTTCTTAACTCGATTACCAGGCTCATCAGGAACTACAGTTTTAGGAAAATGTTTAGTGTCCGAAAATGTCGGCCATACTCCTTTGCGGAAAGGGAGAAATAAGAAAGTTACAATAATATAAGTGTGTGCTTGATCGTGTGCCCAAGTTGGCCTGCAAGCGCAAATTGGGCATTGACGAACACCTGTGCCCGTTTGCGGACCTGTCAAAAGCTCCGTTTACAGAGTCGCCAGCGTACTCCCCTCAGGGTAATCAGCTATGCTGTAAAGATAAATTTTTCCTCAAGGTCAT